TCCTGAGAGCTTGAAAAAGGAAGGCAACTGGACTTCTTTAGGTTTTAAAAATCCAGATGTCTTCTCTTATTATTATTTAAGTCTATAATGATCTGGATGACTGAGAACCTTAAATAGATACCATATTAGGGATAGTCAGCATCATCACACAGAGCCAGGAGTAGAAGACATATCTGAGACAGTGTTTAGAACATTATGAAGCCTGAGCTTTTGACTCAGAGCTGTTTATTATGAGCTATATACAAAGTAACATTATAAATATAACAGAAAACACAGAAATGCAGATCGACTATTAAAAAAGTGGAAAAGAAGAAAGGAAACCAAAGTTGAATCAGTTGTCTTACATATAAAAATGGCTTTAAACCTTCAGTTACTGAAACACGCAGCCAACACAGGTCCCAGTTCTGCCGCTACACGTACCAGCTGTTCTCTTTCTACGTGTTTTCTTAAATGATGTCTCCAACACGTCCAGCTGTGAAGATGACAACAATGATGGCGATGATGATGTAGCACAGCGCTCTAGAGTGAAGACTCCCGCTCAAACTAACCAAAGGAGAAATGGAGGAAAAAATGGCACTGCTGTCATTTCTGGGCACCAACACGTTGCAGATGTTTCCCTCACAGCAGGAAGAGCACACCTGAGGGACGAGAGGAAAGCCTATCACGTTAAGGTTGAGGAGACATCTGAAGGCAGAGCTCTCCACGTACCTGGTAGCCAGTATCGGCAACGTCAGCACAGCCAGTGAACAGACACTCCTCCAAGGTGGCGCAGCGCTTGGTCACAGACACACTTTCCCCACTTCTATCCATCATGTGGAGGGTGGAGCAGTATTTAGTATCTGAAGGACAGTAAAATTCCCTTCATGTGACCAATTTTGTCTTAATAACTTGACAGATTCACAGGCAGCCCCAATATGAGGAGTACAAGTTTAAAACTGCCAACAAATATTTAAATATAGAAAGATAAGCACTACCAAACGGTACTCTTCAGTGCATGACACTTTCAGCTTTTGGTGATCACAGTTTGTTTAGAGAGTTGGATGGCAGGTAGATGATTTTCAGATTCCACAGTGGGCTCTGGCCCTACTGAGTTTGGGAAAACGTGTTTCCATCAACTCTGTCTCACTGCACATTAATTAGCATCTCGCTCCACTCACCTCCAAAACCACCTGCAGCAAATGGTCTGATTCTGCTGTAGGCCACTTCCACTTAAAAGGGAGTTCTTCCTTCCTACCATCGCCAAATCTCATAGATTGTTTGATTATTGGGTTATCGCTCTAATATTATACCTTTCTACATAAAGAGCCCTGAGATGACTGCTGTTGTGTGCTGATGCTTTACAAGTAAAAATGAAATTATGTTTGTATTTTATTGTGAGTAATATCGCATATTTTATATATAGTTTTTATAACACATCAATATCTTGAGCGATAACATTGCACATTTATTGAGTAGTGATGCATTAATTAATCATCAAGGTAGGATAACTGTGTAAGAATATGTTTTGTTTTTTATAAATGATTTTTAATTCATTTAAATTATAAATGAATTACTAAATTATTATAAATATTTTTCATATCAATCTATTTTATTTATTTGAATCATTTTGTTGATGTTCGTTTGTAGCGCATTCCCAAAGAAACACGTTTCTCAAGAGAAGTCACTTGAACTGACATCTCC